TTTTGTGGCCACATCTTGCCTTATCGGCACCACAAAACAGTGTAACCTGATGTGTTTTTGGCGTACCGCTGATACTCCACATCGCTATGCTCGGGCTCTTCCAAACACCAGTAGCGATACGTGTTTGGAATGTGTCCTGAATCTGTTTGTTCAGTGTTTGCAATGTGTCCTGAATCTGTTTAGGAAGTGTTTGCAACCTGTCCCGAATCTGTTTGCTCAGTGTTTATAGCCTGTTTTCTCACTGATTTACTCTGCATGTCCAAGGCACGTTAGCGATGTATACATCGCCGCGCCGCAAGGGTGCCCCTTCCGAATCCCGTTCATCACTGCGTGCTGATTAATCCACGTTAAATCCGACCCCCTTAGCAATAAATTCAGCCATGCCTGACGGCCTGGCCAACGCCTCACGGCCGCACAGTAAACTGCGCACCCGTGAGGCGTTATTCGTGAGGTTAAGTGGTGCTTTTGGACGTCCTGCCGGATTTTAGCGGCTAAAATCCCGGCCATGCATGTGTGTGCATAGCCATGCAGACTCGTAGAAATCATCAGGCGCGTTTTTTCACGATATAGGTATAGGGAAGTGCCGGAAACAGTCATCCCGCCGCAGAAATGCGCTGAGGGCGTCTGAGGGGGTGCGGGCAACGGATGTTATGGTAAATCACATCACTTTTTACCTTGGAAAAGATGTTTTGCTTTGCTCATCTTTTTAAGATTTTTGCCGATATTGATAGATCTTGGTAGGTATTCTACTAAAAAAATAAATAAAATTTTATTCGTATGCCTATTGCGCAGATGCTAAAAGAGACATATAACAAGTGTTGTGCATATACTTACTTGTATAAAAGATTGCTTAATTCTTCGGAATACGTATAATCTTACGCCCGTACTGCTAAAGAAAATGTACGATGTTATTTTTATGTTTTATGTACCACTCACAGAACAACAAGAGGAGAGTATCTAATGCTGCGTAAAGTTAGCAATCCGTTCGAACTCTTCGCTAAGAACTCTGTTGAGCTCAACATGCTGTCTCTTAAGTCCAAGCTTATTATTATCATTGCAGAGATGATCCGTAACGAAGGCTGGTCACAGAAAACCGCAGCTGAGAAGCTCGGAGTTAGCCAGCCAAGAGTAAGCAACTTAATGAATGGACAGGTGTCCAAATTCGCGATTGATACATTACTAGAGATGCTATGCCGCATCGGCTTTGTTATGGATGTATCTTTTCGTCCGCATGATGAAGAGAGCCCTATTCAAGTAAGTGTAAAAAAGGCGATCGTGTAAGGATCGCCTTTGGGTTACTGTTTATTTTATTGATTTATAACGTTTTTTGATTGTTTCTTCATGCGATTTCGGTGTTCCGCCCGACGTCTTCGAAAAGGCGTGTAATACGTAAAGGGTGCCATCCTTAACTACGTATACACAGCGATAGGCTGGGCGGCCGTTTTTTCTTAACTCATACACACCCTTGCCTAACCCGTTGAGTGGTTTTGAGTCTGAAAGCGGGGGCTTTAATCCTGCAATCATCATCGTAAACACTGTTGCAAACTTTTCTTGAGCTGCCTGTGATAGGTCGCTTTCGAATTCCTTGTCTGCACTTCCTACAAAAAACAAATCCAATTCACTACTCATTGTGCACCTCCTTCGGTCACAAAAAATTATGCGTTCATACGCAGGCCCTCGGTTGATTGAAGAAACCACCTTTAGCTATTCAAAATAAAAATAGAGGTGGGGGTAACTGGTCGAGTATATATGTCTTCCCGCACTTAAGGAAGGGGATATATAAGTATTTATAACTAAATCATCAGTCTGCGCTTATTTATTGAGCAGTCTATAGCTCTTTTCATCATTCTTATTCTTCCTAATACGGAATTTTTGGTGTCAGTATCTGAGTTGATGCTAAAAAAAACTATATAACTCTTGAGGATGCTTCTAAGGTGAGTGCTTGACGCTTCTTCTTCATTAGGCGTAGTCTTAGGTTCAAAAGAAAAACCGCCCTGGCAGGCGGTTTTTCAAAGGTTCATTAAGTTGGGGAACTTATGAACCGCGGTAACTGGCTTTAGTGGAGCGCAGTAACCTAATTCGTCCTTCCAGTGTAGCCGCTCTTCGGTCGACACTTCAAGAACTCCTTATGTAGGCTCCACTCCAAAACAGTTGCCAATGGCTGCTGCCAATGGCGCGTTGTCGTGTCTTTCCGGGTTGGACTCAAGAAGACAGTTACCGGAAAAGGCGCAGCGGTCGGACTGAACGGGGGGTTCGTGCATACAGTCCAGCTTGGAGCGAACTGCCTACCCGGAACTGAGTGTCAGGCGTGGAATGAGATAAACGCGGCCATAACAGCGGAGTGACACCG